CGTTTGTTACAGCGCGCCTGTTGAAATTAAGTGTATCGCAAAGTTGTGTTTGGAAAGAATAAACCAGTTTTATTTAAGAAAGGACTTGTGTCGCTAAAGTTTCGTTGGAACGAATTTACGGAAAATTAATTAACAAACGGAGACGTAACAATATTAAACGTTAGTTATATGTTAATCGTTAGGCCTATTACTTCTTGTAACGCTTTTTTCTGCTTGCCAGTCAGTTCTTTGCTGATGTTGACATCTTTGTATGTCTTATCTTCACCTAGTGGTCTTAGGTCTAGTAGGCCCTCATCTTCTAAGACAAAGTCATTGTCTTGTGGTTCCGCATCTATGATGGCCACACCTGTAACATCCATTTCTGTTTCAATAGCTGCACCCCTTAGGTCTTCTTTTCTCCCAAAATACTTCTTCAACAGGTTGGCATGGTATATCTTGGTCTTTCCATTCACTTTCACCTTGTACTCCATTCTGTTAAGTACTTCCTGTACTTCAAAGGGTCTTTTCCATTGCAAGGTATGTTTTTGTGGCCTGCGGGCATCAGAAGTAAGACCATTTGTCCAACCTTGAAACGTCGATCCTTGGCCTTCATGTCATAGAAATGCTTCTGACTGCCTTGAGCCACATACAAACTCAACTCTGTTGAGCGAGTTGAAAGGTCTCCTCCAGTTAGTTGCTGACGTCTAACACATACTGGTATGTGTTCCTTACTTCTGACTCTTCTTCTCCCATCCATAGCTCTTTCAATATTTGCATCAAATCTCGTACTGTTCTTCTATACAGTAACTCAAAGGGTGAAAATCCTGTACTTGCTTGTGAGACTTCTCGATAAGTAAATAATACTGCCTGCAAGTACCTGTCCCAGTCATGTGGTCTCTCTTGGCACATCTTCTTTAGCATGCTCTTTAAAACTCAATTGACTCTCTCACAAAGTCTATTACATTTAGAATTGTATGGGGTGGTAAAGAGTTGCCGAGTACTGATGAGTCTGCACACTTCCCGCATCAGTTCTGAAGTAACCTTGGTCCTTCTGTCACTCAGAATTTCTCTCGGAAAGCTTATTCTAAAAATATCTCCAGAAGAGCTTCTGCTACTCTCTCTGTCTCTATCTTCTCCAGTGCTATTGCTTCTGGATAACGTGTCGCATAGTCGACTGTTGTTAGAACATATTGGTTGCCCTAGTCAGACACAGGTTCTAGTGGCCTTATCAAGTCCACAGCTACTCTGCTGAATGGCTCTTCTATGAGAGGCATATCCTCCAATGGAACTTTGGCTACCTTCCCTCTAGGTATTGTCCTTTGGCAGGTGTCACATGACCTGCAGAATCTACTCACATCTCAAATAACTCCCGGCCAATGGAAGTTACTGGTGATTCTGTCTGTTGTTTTCTTTGATCCTAGGTGTCCTCCTACGATGAATTCATGAGCCAATTTTATCACTTGAGTCTGGTATTCTGTTGGTACTATGATCTGTTTAACTTCCTCAGTATAACTGCCTTCATGGATTCGGTATAGAACTATCTTCCGGTCCTCTATTTTATAAGTATCTTTCCCTTTTGTTTTGTGCTCGACTTTCTCCTGGGCATTGTCCCAAAGTTTCTGCAGTAAATAGACTTTCTTTTGTGCTTCCTTCAGTTCCTGCAAATCTTACTTCGGGATGATTCTTTTTGACACTTGCAGGGGCTTGATGTCTTGTTTGATCTTCTTTTCTTACGCTCTGGTGGTGACAGCAGATGTTTCATCAATCTTTTTTCTGTCTAGTTCCTCCAACTTTTTTACTACCTGGTATGTTTCCTATCACCAAGTCGTGT